ATGATTTGGGGGTATAAATATGTTTAAATGTGCAATTTCAGAGAGATGATTTTTTTTTTTTTTTTTTTTTTTTTGAGATGGAGTTTCACTTTTGTTGCCCAGGCTGGAGTGCAATGGCACAATCTTGGCTCACTGCAACCTCCACCTTCCAGGTTCAAGTGATTCTCCTGCCTCAGCTTCCCAAGTAGCTGGGATTACAGGCGCACGCCACCACGCCCGGCTAATTTTCTATTTTTGGTAGAGACAGGGTTTCACCCTGTTGGTCAAGCTGGTCTTGAACTCCCGACCTCAGGTGATCCGCCCGCCTCAGCCTCCCAAAGTGCTGGGATTACAGGCGTGAGCCACCGCACCTGGCCCAGAGAGATGATTTCAACAATCATTCCTTTCAAAGGTAAAGATTGGGCTGAGCACAGTGGCTCACACCTATAATCCCAGCACTTTGGGAGGCCAAGGTGGGCAGATCACCTGAGGTTGGGAGTTCAAGACCAGTTTGACCAACATGGTGAAACCCCATCTCTACTAAAAACACAAAATTAGCCAGGCATGGTGGTGCATGCCTGTAATCCCAGCTACTTGGGAGGCTGAGGCAGGAGAATCGCTGGAACCCTGGAGGTGGAGGTTGCGGTAAGCCAATATGGCAAATTGCACTCCAGCCCTGGCAACAAGAGTGAGACTCCATCTCAAAAAAAAAAGGAAATGTTTTGTTTTTATATTATAAACCTAAAAATTTTAATCACTCAGGATGTTTTCAAATTAACAATCTTGTGACAAACTATCCATAACATAAAATTTGCCAATCTAACCTTTTTTTTTTTTTTTTTTTGAGAAGGAGTCTCGCTCTGTTGCCAGTCTGGAGTTCAGTGGAGTGATCTCCGCTCACTGCAACCTCCAACTCCTGGGTTCAAGCCATTCTCCTGCCTCAGCCTCCCAAGTAGCTGAGACTACAGGCGCATGACCACCATGCCCAGCTAATTTTTGTATTTTTAGTAGAGATGGGGTTTCACCATGTTGTCCAGGATGATCTCGATGTCTTGACCTTGTGATCTGCCCACCTCAGCCTCCTAAAGTGCTGGGATTATAGGCATGAGCCACCACACCCAACCTGCCTCTTTAGCCTAGGCTGGAGTGGAGTGGTGCCATCTGGGCTCACTTCAGTCTCCACCTTCTTGGCTCAAGCCATCCTCCCACCTTAGCCTCCCGAGTAGCTGAGACTACAGGATCGCACCACCACGACCAGCCAGATTTTTACTGTAGAGACGGGGTTTCACTATATTCCCCAGACTGGTCTCAAACTTGCGAGCTGAATCCATCCACCCCCTCTGCCTTCCAAAGTACTCGGATTACAGGCGCTAGCCACCAGAACCAGCCCATTCTAACCATTTGGAAGTATACGGTTCAGTAGCAGTAAATACACTCACATTGTTATGCAACCATCACCACCATCCATCTCCAGAACTTTCTATGATCTCTAACTGAAACTCTGTAACCATTGAACAACTCCCCTTTTCTCCTTCCCCCAGCCCCTGGCGACCACCGTTCTATTCTACTTTTTGTCTCTGATTTTGCCTCCTCTAAGTCCCTTATACAAGGGGAATCATACAGTATTTGCTTTTTTGTTACTGGTTTATTCCAGGTAACCTAATATCTCAAGGTTCATCTGTGTTGCAGCATGTGTCAGAATTTCCTTCCTTTTTAAGGCAGAATACATCTGAGCACGGTGGCTCACGCCTGTAATCTCAGCACTTTGGGAGGCCAAGGCAAATGGATCACCTGAGGTCAGGAGTTCAAAACCAGCCTGGCCAACATGGCAAAACCCTGTCTCTACTAAAAATACAAAATTAGGGCCGTGCGTGGTGGCTCACGCCTGTAATCCCAGCATTTGGGAGGCCAAGGCAGGCGGATTATGAGGTCAGGAGTTCGAGACCAGCCTGACCAACATGGTGAAACCCCGTCTCTACTAAAAATACAAAAAGTATATAGCTGGGTGTGGTGGTGCACACCTGTAATCCCAGCTACTCAGGAGGCTGAGGCAGGAGAATTGCTTGAACCCAGGAGGTGGAGGTTGCAGTAAGCCGAAATTGCACCACTGCACTCCAGCCTGAGCAACAGAGCAAGACTCTCTCCAAAAAAAAAAAAAAAAAAAAATACAAAATTAGCCCAGTGTGGTGGCGCATGCCTGTAATCCCAGCTACTCTGGGGAGGCTGAGGCAGGAGAATCGCTTGAACCCAGGAGGCGGAGGTTGCGGTGAGCCAAGATCACGCCATTGCACTCCACCCTGGGCAACAAGAATGAAACCCTGTCTCTAAATAAATAAATAAATAAATAAGCAAGCCGGGCATGATGGGGCACACCTGTAATCCCAGCTACTCGGGAGGCTGAGGCACAAGAATCACATGAACCTGGGAGGTAGAGGTTGCAGTGAGCTGACATCTCACCACTGCACTCCAGCCTGGGTGACAGAGAGAGACTCTGTGTGGAAAAAAAAAACTTCCTTCCTTAAGAAGATAGAATAATATTCCATCATATGGCCAGACCACATTTTGCTTATCCATTCATCTGTTGGCTATTTGGGTGTTTCCAACTTTTGGCTTAGTGAGTGCACTGCTAGCAACATGGGTATACAGCTCACCCAGGATATTTTAAAAGATTGTTAGCATTTATCTCCAAAAGTTTATATTTATTTAGATGACCTTGATATGGACAACATATTCAGCTGGAAGGTAGAATACATACACAGCTTCTAAATTTTTTTTTTTTTTTTTTTAAGACAAAGTCTTATTGCCCAGGCTGGAATGCAGTGAGTTGATCTCAGCTCACTGCAACCTTCGCCTCCCAGGTTCAAGCGATTCTCCTGCCTCAGTCTCCCAAGTAGCTGAGACTACGGGTGTGTGCCACCACACCTGGCTCATTTTTGTATTTTCAGTAGAGACTGGTTTTCAACATGTTGGCCAGGCTGGTCTCGAACTCCCGACATGAAGTGATCTGTACGCCTCAGCCTCCCAAAGTCCTGGGATTACAGGTGGCAGCCACCATGCCCGGCCTAAAAAATTTCATAACATCAAATTGGTAAAAATGTTCAAAACTTAATGCTCAGAATAACCAGACATGGTGAGTTTATCATTTATTGTACAAGCATTTTTTCTGTTTGTTTTTTGAGATGGAGCCTCACTGTGTCACCCAGCCTGGAGTACAGTGGCACGATATGGGCTCACTGCAACCTCCACCTCCTGGGTTCAAGTGACTCTCCTGCCTTAGTCTCCCGAGTAGCTGCAATTACTGGCGCCCACCACCACGCCAGGCTTTTTTTTTTTTTTTTTGTATACTTAGTAGACAAGGGGTTTCACCATTTGGGCCAGGCTGGTCTTGAACTCCTAACCTTGTGATCCACCCAGCCTTGGCCTCCCAAAGTGCTGGGATTACAGGCGTGAGCCACCGCGCCCGGCCAAAGGTATTTGTTTTAATCATCTTAGGAGTTTTCTGTCATTCAGGCTCACTACAGCCCCAACCTCCCAGGCTCAAGCGATCTTCCCACCTGTTTCTGAATAGCTAGGACTAGAGGCTGACGCCCACCATACTTGCCTAATTTTTATCCTATTTTTGATAGAGTCGCTCACTTTGTTGCTGAGGCTGGTCTCGAACTCCTGGCCTTAAGCAACCCTCCTGCCTCAGCCTCCCAAAGTGTTGGGATTATAGGCATCAGCTGCTGTGCCTGCAGTTTTGTTTTGTTTTTTGTTTGTCTGTTTTTGAGACAGTCTTCTCTGTCAGCCAGGCTGGAGCACGATGGCATGATCTCAGCTCACTGACATCTCTGCCTCCTGTGTTCAAGCAATTCTCCTGCCTCAGCCCCCTGAATAGCTGGGAGTACAGGCATGTGCCACCACACACAGCTAATTTTTGTATTTTTAGTAGAGATGGGGTTTCACCATGTTGACCAGGCTGGTCTCGAACTCCTGACCTTGTGATCTGCCCACCTTGGCCTCCCAAAGTGCTGGGATTACAGGCATGAGCCACCACACTCGCCCTACAATTTTTACATCTGTAATTTTTCAACATAGCAAATGGGAAAATACACTAAGTAGATCAAATGGTAGATATAGTTCTTTTCAGCTGTGAGTGGGAGAAAAAGTTAAGGCACCTAAGGGAGATGAATAAAAATGCCAGGGTGTCTGTCACTTTCACAGTGAGGAGGGCTGAGCAGTCTGTTGGAGTGACTTTTCTATTTTTTGTTTTTTTTTTTGTGAGACAGAGTCTCGCTCTCTCACCTAGGCTGGAGTGCAGTGGCACAATCTCGGCTGACTGCAACCTCTGCCGGCTGGGTTCAGATGGTTCTCCTGCCTCAGCCTCAGTAGCTGGGACTATAGGCATGCACCACCACACCCGGCTACTAATTTTTTTTGTATTATTAGTAGAGACGGGGTTTCAGCATGTTGGCCAGGCTGGTCTTGAACTCTTGACCTCAGGTGATCCACCCTCCTCGGCCTCCCAAAGTGCTGGGATTACAGGTATGAGCCACCGCGCCTGGTAGAGAGTCTTTTCTAAACCATGACAATTCCCTGGTAATTTAGCTTCAATTACAGTCACCTGTTAGGATTACCGTGCGCACTGTTAACGTCAACTGAATCAAATCCTCTTTCCATGACTGCTGCCTAACAAGAATCCATCTCGGCTGGCCTGGTGGCTCACGCCTGTAATCACAGCCCTTTGGGAGGCCGAGGCAGGTGATCACCTGAGGTCAGGAGTTTGAGACCAGCCTGGCTAACACGGTGAAACCCTATCTCTACTAAAAATACAAAAATAAGGCAGGTGTGGTGGTACACGCCTATAGTCCCAGCTACTCCAGAGGCTGAGGCAGGAGAAACTCTTGAACCTGGGAGACGGAGGTTGCAGTGAGCTGAAATTGTGCCACTGCACTCCAGCCTGGGCGACAGAGCAAGACTCAATCTCATTTAAAAAAAAAAAAAAAAAAAAATCGATCTCGCAAAATTGATCATCTCGAAAAGAAATTATTCTCATTTTACTTTAATGATTATCCAAGACCCCAGTATAAGAATTAACCCAGAAGATTTTGTTCACATTAATGGTCAGAGTATAACCCTTTAAATCTTTAAGAAACATGCTTCAGATTTCAAGTTTTGAGAGTTTTTCTTCTACTTGGTCTAGTCTATCATTGAAGCTTTTGAGTTTGCTCTGTATTTCATCCAGTGATTTCTTCAGTTTCAGAAGTATCCTTAGGTTGCTTTTAGGAATATCACTGAAGTTGATAATTTTTTCCTGTAGAACGCTAACTACTTCCATCTTTTTTCTCTGTTCTTTTCCAAATGATGCTTGCATTATGCCCATCAACTGTATAATCTCTATGTTCAATTCTCTCTCCAAAATATCTTGTGTTTCTTTTGGATGGGGATCTGCTGCTGGAGAATTACTGGGTTCCTTTGGAGGAGGCCCATTTCCTTGCTTTTTCATGTTTTCTGTGTCCTTCCGTTGAGATCTGTGCATCCTGTGAAAGTGGCTTCTTCCAAGTTTGTGAACTCGCTTTGTAGGGGAGGACTTCTTCCTGAAAATGTAGATAGGATGATGGTTAGGTGGGGCACTTTGGCTTTGATTTGGGGTAGTACTGTAGGCTCTGTATGATTTCTTGGGTGGCTTAGGGTGTGGTTATCAGTGGAGGCTGTGGTTGCTGGGGATTAGGAGGCTAGGTGGGCCAGTCTTTGGACACAGTGGTGTCCTGATCTTACCTATTCTTTAGCCCCAGTGTATGCTGGCTCTGTTATCAGCGGGTTGTGGGGAGTGACTCGTGTGCCTCTAGGTGTCCTGCTCTAATGCTGGTAGTGGCAGCCACTGGCTGGGGGTGTGGCTAATCCCAGGCGCCGGGGCAGTGGGTACGATGTGGGCAGCGTAGCTGCAGTTGGCGGCGGGGGTGGGGAGGGGGGACGGACGGCAACCCTCCGGGACCCAGGCGGTCCCTGCTGGTGTTGGAGGTGGCTGCCCAGGTTGGGAGGGCAGGCGAGTCCCCTGGCCTGCGGTGGTATCCGCAGGCTGGGCCCCTGACCTCAAAAACCGTCGAGGACGGGGAGGAGTGTTCAGCCGCTAACGGTGGCGGAAGAGGCCGAATAGTAACCAATACCCAGACCCCTGGCCCCAGTGCTCAACTCCTCAGGAGGCAAAACTGCCAGCGGACTGTACCGAGGGCCCCAGGGTTCCGTGGCTAGCTAGGACGGACAGGGAAGGACTGGTCCCCAGGAAAGCTCAGGCGGGGCAGAGAAGGCAAGCGGTTGGCTCGCGTCTGGGTCCTGCGGCGGCGGTGGGGTTGTTTGTCCTTTCGGACGTATGAAAGCGTCCGGCCTCCCCGCTCCCTCCTTGGCCCTCCCTTGGCGGGGGCTGCAGCTGCAGCTGCTCAGGGCAGGGAAGCCCGTGGGCTCCACGTGGGCTCCTGCAACGCAGCTGGGGAATCTCTCGGCCGCTGCCCTCGATTCTGGAGGTCAGCGAGGGTCGGGGGCTGTGGAACTCCGTGGGGGGACTGCGGAGCCTCGGGGTCTCTCACTCACCCTTTCCCCGCGCGCAGGAGCTACAGGCCGTCCCCGCCGATCCGATTTCTCCGCTCAGGCTGCCTAGGTGCCTTTGCTGCGCTCCTCGGGCTCCCTGTGGCTTCTCGGCTGAATCCCGCGTTCTCTCAGCCGATCTGCTGCAAGTGCGAAAACCTACCGTCTCCTTCGGTTCCCGTCGGAGGAGAGGCGCGTGCCGGGTGCATCTACCAGGCCATCTTGAGTCTGTGAGAACGGGTCCTAATGGCGCCAGTTACTCAAGGACGTTCCCTGGAGGGTCCGGGTCAGCCCCACCCCCTTCACTCTCGGGAAGGCCCCGCCCTCCCCTTCCAGACTGGTCCGCAAGCTCCGTGTGCACACAGGTGTGTTTGCTAATAGAAATAGGACTATTCGGCCGGGCGCTTGAACCCGGGAGGCGGACGTTGTAGTGAGCCGAGATCGTGCCACTGCACTCCTACTTGGGCGACAAGAGCTAGACTCCATCTCAAAAAAGAAAAAATCATTGACGTTGATGTATGCGTTTTTATGGATGCTTTATTATTATCATCATTATTTTGAGATGGAGTCTAACTCTGTCTCCCAGTCTGCAGTGCAGTGGCTAGATCTCAGCTCCTGCAAAGCAAAAACTCCCTCTCCAAAAAAAAGGAAGATGAATTAACATGCTAGGGTGTGCTTGGCACAGTGTGGTTCACCCCTGCAATCCCAGAACTTTCGGAGGCTGAGGCAGGCAGATCACTTTGAGTTCAGGAGTTCAAGACCAGACTAGGCAACATGGTGAAACCCCGTTTCTACAAAAAGGTACAAAAATTAGCCAGGAGGCTGGGCACGGTGGCTCAGCCCCTGTAATCCCAGCACTCTGGGAGGCCCAGGCGGGCAGATCACCTGAGGCCAGAAGTTCAAGACCAGCCTGACCAACATTGGGAAACCCCATGTCTACTAAAAATACAAAAATTAGCTGGGCGTGGTGGCGGGTGCCTGTAATCCCAGCTAATCGGGAGGCTGAGGCACGAACCTGGGAGTCAGAGGTTGCAGTGAGCCATGATCGCACCATTGCACTCCAGCCTGGGCAACAAGAGCGAAACTCCGACCAAAAAAAAAAAATTAGCCAGGGGTCATGGCTCATGCCTGTAGTCCCAGCTACTTGGGAGACTGAGACTGGATGGCATGAGCTCGGAAAATGGAGGCTGCAGTGAGATTGCACTACTGCACTCCAGCCTGGGATACAGAAAGCCCATGTCTGTAAATAAATAAATGCTACAGTGTTTGTCAGGTTTACAGTGAGGAGGGCTGACATGTAGCTGTGTGGGCAATCTGTTAGAGACAGGAGTGGCTTTTCTTGACCATGACAATGTCCTTCAGCTACATTCACCTGTTACGATTACTGTGCCTACTGAATTCAGTACTGATCAGATTCAGTAACTGAATCAGATCATCTTTACACAACTGCTGCATGATAACTCATCTTGCAAAATCGACTATCTCTAAAGGAAATTATTTTTATTTTGCTCTAACGATTACCCAAGACCCCAGAATAACAATTAACCCAGCAGGTTTCGTTCACATTAATGGCCAGTGTACAACCCATTTTCTTTAAAGTGAGAAAAATGCTTCAGATTTTGTGTCCTGAGAGTTTTTCTTCTATTTGTTCTAGTCTATCATTGAAGCTTTTGACTGTACTTTGTATTTCATCCAATGATTTCTTCAGTTCCAGAAATACTCTTCTGTTGAATTTTAAAACCTCTTTCTGGCAGGTAATCATCTCATACGTCTCCCCAACTCTTTTCCTCATTTCTTTGTGTTCTCGTTCAAAAGACTCTTCCATGTTGATGACCTTCTTTACTATCAGTCGGGTCAATTCTCTGCTCAATTCTCTGTTTGAGCTTTCCTGAATTTCTTTTGGATGGGGATCTGTTGCTGGAGAATTACTGGGTTCTTCTGTAGGCATCACATTTCCTTGCTTTTTCATGCTTCCCGGGTCCTTCCATTGAGATCTGGGCATCTTGTGGAATAGTCACTTCTTCCAAGTTTGTGAATTCACTTTGTAGGGGAGGACTTCTTCCTGAAGATGTAGATATGATGTGGTTAAGTAGGGGACCTTGGCTTTGGTTTGGGGTAGAAGTGTAGGCTCTGTACACTACTTGAGTGACTTAGTGTGTGGTTATTAGTGGAGGCTGTGCTTGCCTGTTCTTGAGCCCCAGAGCAGTGTATGCTGGCCCTGGCGTTAGTGGGTTCAGGGGAGCGATTCGTGGGCCTTTTCCTGGGCCTCTAGGTGCCCTGCTGGAATGCTGGTAGTGACAGTCCCTGGCTGGGCGTGTGGCTGATCTCAGGCCCTGGGGCAGCAGGAGTGATGGGCGGGAGGGGCAAGTGAGTCCCCTGGCCTGCGTGGTGGTATCGGCAGGCTGTGTCCCAGACCTCAGACCCCGGGGAGGAGTGTTCAGCTGCCAGCGGTGACGGACAAAGCCCGCAGCCACCAGTCCCCAGGCCCCTGGCCCGTGTGCTCCAGTCCTCGGGGGACGGAAATGCCAGCGGACTGTCCTCAGGCCCCCAGGGTTTGGGCTCTGGCTGTGACAGACAGGGAAGGGCTGGTCCCCAGGCTGCGGGCGGAAAGCTCAGGCGGGGCAGGGCGGGCGCGCAGTTGGCTCGCATCTGGGTCCCGCGTCAGCGGCCGGGTTATTTGTCCTTTGGGACTCCTGAGACCGCCCGGCCTCCTCTCTCCCTCCCTGGTCCTCAGCTGGCTGCGGCGGTTACCGCAGGCAAGGCAGAAGCTGCCCTCGGTGCTGGACTTTTGGGGTGGCGGGGGCTGCAGCTAAAGCTGCTCAGGGCAGGGAAGCCCGTGGGCTCCACGTGGGCTCCTGCAACGCGACTGGGAAATCTCTCGGCCGCTGCCCCCTATTCTGGAGGCCTGCGAGGGTCGGGGGCTGTGGAAGTCCGTAGGGAGACTGCGGAGCCCCGGGGTCTCTCACTCACCCTTTCCCCGCGCGCGGGAGCTACATACAGGCCGTCCCCGCCTATCCGATTTCCCCGCGCAGGCTACCTGGGTGCCTCTGCTCCGCTCCTCGGGCTCCCAGTGGCTGAATCCCGCGTTCTCTCAGCCGACCTGCTGCAAGTGTGAAAACCTACCAGCTCCTTCGGTTCCCTTCGGAGGAGAGGCGCGTGCCGGGTACATCTACCCGGCAATCTTGAGCCAGTGGTCCTAGGTGGGAACGGGTCCCACGTGCGTGGGTTACTCAAGGGCGTTCCCTGGAGGGTCTGGATCTGCCCCGCCCCCTTCACTCCCGGGAAGGCCCCGCCCTCCCCTTCCAGACTGGACCGAAAGCTCCGTGTGCACACAGGTGTGTTAGCTCATAGAAATGGGAGCAGACTATTTACAGTTTTCCACAAAAGTGTGCGTTTTTCACTTTTTATGCTGGGGATTTGTGTCAGTACTAGCAGAGCCGCGTTGTTCTTTTCTTTTTTTGGGGGGGGGGACAGAGTCTAGCCCTGTCATCCCAGGCTGGAGTGCAGTCCTGTGATCTCGGCTCACCACAACCTCCGCCTCCTGGGTTCAAGCGATTCTCCTGCCTCAGCCTCCCGAATGGTTGGGAATATAGGCGCACGCCACCAGGCCTGGCTAATTTTTTTGTATAATATTTTTAGTAGAGATGGGGTTTCACCATGTTGGCCAGGCTGGTCTTGAACTCCTGATCTCAAGTGAACCGCCCGCCTTGGCCTCCCAAAGTGCTGGGATTACAAGCATGAGCCACTGTGCCCAGTAGCAGAACCATTTTCTATTCCATGCTGAACAAACCAGTTTTTGCCACACATGTGTTGAGATGAAACAACTTTCTTTCTATGAGAGATGTCACAGGAGCTCATGAAACAGCCCAATCACAGGAACTCTGTAGTTCAGCATGGCTCAAGTGAGTGTGTGTATGTGAGAGGGACTGTGAATATAGGAGGGTGAATGTGTGCATATATGTTTGTATATTTGAGCATGTGGGAGAAGATAAGGGACCAGATGGTGAAGGGCACCTCAGGCTAGGCAAGGAGTTTGGCGTATCTTACAGGCATTAATGTGCCACTGACAGATTTTTTTCACTGACAATTAATGTGGCCAGATTTTTTTTAAATTTAATTTTATTTTATTATTTTATTTTAGACAGAGTTTCACTCTTGTTGCCCAGCCTGGAGTGCCATGGAGCGATCTTGGCTCACCACAACCTCTGCCTCCTGGGTTCAAGGGATTCTCCTGCCTCAGCCTCCCAAGTAGCTGGGATTACAGGCATGTGCCACCACACCCAGCTAATTTTGTATTTTTAGTAGAGACAGATTTTCTCCACGTTGGTCAGGTTGGTCTCGAATTCCCAACCTTAGGTGATCTGCCTGCCTCGGCCTCCCAAAGTGCTGGGATTACAGACATGAGCCACCGCCCCCAGACTTATATTATTTTATTTTTTGAGACAGAGTCTTGCTCTGTTGCCCAGGCTACCATGCAATGGTGTGATCCCAGCTCATTGCAACCTCCACCCCACGGGCTCCCAAGCAGTTATCATCCCTCAACCTCTTGAGTAGCTGGGATTACATGTGCCCGTCATGTGCACGCCTGGCTAATTTTTGTATTTTGGGGGGTTTCGCCATGTTGGTCAGGCTGGTCTCGAACTCCTGACTTCAGATGATCCATAAGCCTCAGCCTCCCAAAGTGCTAGGATTACAGGCATGAGCCACCATGCCCAGCTCCCAGATTGCCTTCTCTAGGTGTCTGTCTCAGGTCTCCCTCTCTCTCTCTTATACTGACACTTCTAATTGCATCTTCTAGAGCCCACTTGGATAATACAGGATTATCTTCCCATCTAAAGTTACTTAATCGGGCCAAGCACAGTGGCTCATGCCTGCAATCCCTACACTTTGGGAGTCCTAGACAGGCGGATCACCTGAGGTCAGGAGTTCGAGACCAGCCTGGCCAACATCGCAAAAACCTTGTCTCCACTAAAAATACTAAAATTAACCTGGTGTGGTGGCACATACTTGTAATTCGGGAGGCTGAGGCAGGAGAATGACTTGAACTCAGGAAGCGGAGGTTGCAGTGAGCTCAGATGGTACCACTGCACTCTAGCCCGGGCAACAGAACGAGACTCCATCTCAAAAAAAAAAAAAAAAAAAAATCCTTAATTACATATGCAGAGACAGTTTTTTTCCAAATAAAGTAACACAGGTTCCGGGGATCAGGACCTGATATCTTTGGGGGCTATTATTTAGCCTTCCTCAGATGCACACACTTAGGC